ATGCATGCTATGACATGTGTCCTCCTCCACATGCATGCTATGACACGGGTCCTCGTCCACATGCATGCTGACATGTGTCCTTCTCCACATGCATACTATAACACATGTCCTCCTCCACATGCGTGCTATGACACGGGTCCTCCTTCACATGTGTGCTATGACACGGATCCTTCTTCACATGCATGCTATGACACGTGTCCTCCACATGCATGCTATGACACGTGTCCTCCTCCACATGTGTACTATGACACGGGTCCTCGTCCACATGCATGCTGACACATGTCCTTCTCCACATGCATGCTATAACACATGTCCTCCTCCACATGCGTGCTATGACACGGGTCCTCCTTCACATGTGTGCTATGACACGGGTCCTTCTTCATATGCATGCTATGACACGTGTCCTCCACATGCATGCTATGACATGGGTCCTCCTCCACACGTGTGCTATGACACGGGTCCTCCACATGCATGCTATGACATGGATCCTCCATATTCATGCTGTGACATAGGTCCTCCTCCACACACCATGTACACACAATAATAATACATTTTAAAAGGGAATAAATGAAAGAGTTTACAAAATTGGATTTCCTTAGTTCCATGCATGGAGACAAGCCCTCAAGAGTGATTTCACTGAGGACAACAATACAGGGGTCCAGGTCTCCCTCGCTCAGAGCGGACTCACTGTCAGCAAGGTCAAAGGGTACTTTCTATGATGACAAGGTAGATGCTCTTGGCTGCCACTCAGGATTCTCCTGTGGTATTAAAATCTGCGCTTTCACATGGGACTTGTAGGGTTAAACTGAACCTAAGGAGTACAGCTCTCGCTGCTTTCTGTTCCAGCACCAGGCTAAGCATTGGTCTACTCTCTTGTTGTCCTCCAAACTTGCTGGCATCTACTTACCAAGATGATGTCTGCTTAGGGTGCCCCATCACAGAGGTGCCAGCCACCTCTGCAGGGAGCCACAAGGTGAGGGTACAATCCTGCAGGTAACCCCTCTGCTCCTCTCGCCTCAGTTTACAGCCCAGAGTCCCTAGCTTACACCTTACACATCTTTGGATTCCTCTCTTGGGGAAAAAGGGACAGTCAATGCAATGACAGTGCTAAGCTAAAGAATTGGTTTCATCCAGACTGCTAAACCAGCACTTCCTGGGTTCAGGATGTAGTGCACGGCACCAGCCCAACCCACCTGACTAACCGTTGGCCTTAGAATGGGGAGCACAAAGACCACGCCACAGCAGCTCTACTGGCACCAGCAGCTTCTGGTCACGCCAATGATTTGCAGCCCTGGGCACTCACCTACCAACAGGGTAGGCTTTGGTCCTTGCTTGGATCATGCTCTTACTACCTGCCGCTCAGATTCTGCCTGCCTCCGTGACGGGGAAACCCCTTTACTCGTTTGCATCTGGTGGCGGGGGGGTGGTGTGGTGGTTCCTCACAACTCTCCCATCTCTCCTCTGTCCCTTTCCCACGCTGCTCTCACCTCTTCCTCCAGTTTGATGACTCTGGCCTGGGCATTGCTCAAAGCCTGGTCCAGGATCTCAATATGCCTCCGATGGTCCTCGCTGGCATTCCGCACTGCTGCCAACTCCATTTCCAGCTTTTCCTTTTCCTTCAAGAATTCTTTGTCTGGAAGGGAAAAAAACAAAAACAAACAAACAAACAAAAAAAACAGAACAAGCTCCGTCAGAAAGTGCTCAGCCTCAGGCTCAGTGCCAGGCTACACCTGGCAAGGACTGAAAATAAACATCATGCAAATAGCAGTGAGTTACTGCTGCTGCTGCCGCCGCCGCTGTTGCTGCCGGGCAGTGATGAAGGGCGAGTGAAGGAATGACTTCCTCAAACCCACCCTTGACCCTGCGCAGAATGTGCGCCCAGTGACGAGGTGCTGGGTCGCATCAGTGGGACAGTGCACGCTAAGCGTGCGCAAGGTGCTGGGTTTGATCCCAGCATAACAAGAAGGAAGCGGAAAGTGCACACAGGAGCCAGGAGCCCCACGTTCTCCTGGCTCACTTCTCTACAACACCGACGGTGATGCTCCCACCTGTGACCTGTGAGTTCACTGCATGCTCCCAACCTCCCTTGCTTGCATCCATCTTTTAAGCCTTGGGTCAAAGGGCAGGTGCCCCCTTGCAATAATATTAAAATTCCCATTCCTGGAATGGTGAACCGAGGTCTCTAAGAAGGGGTTCATTCACTGCAGCATGACGAGGAGGGAGCCTCAAGCCTGACCCCCTTCTATGAAGAGCTCCAAATCTCCCCCTAGCTCTGTCAAGAAGGGATAGGAACTTCAGATTTAGAAACACCATTGCCCTGTTCTACAAAAGATGACGGTCGCATGCCTTTGCAAGTAGAAGCTGTGACCTAATCGCCTCCTCCACCTTTCTGGTCAGTCCTCCTGAGAACAGGAAAGACCATGGCCATGAGACAACTGTTTCTTATGGAAAATATGTTTCTAGCTACAAAAGCAGTATTTTTTTTTCATTTAAAAATACATTATTTAGATAAGCTTTCTACAGTATAAAAATGCTTGAAAGAATTTAACATGTGAGAATCAAGGAGTCAGGCTAGGTGGTGCAGGCCTGTAATCCTAGATACTCAGGAAACTGAGGCAGGAGGATGACAAGTTCAAGGCCTGACTGGTTTACCGCAACTTCAAAGCTAGCCTGCGCAATTTGGTGAAACCCTGCCTCAAAAGAAAAGGTCAAAGAGGGCTGGGAGTGTGGCGCAGTGGTAGAGCACTTGCCTAGAATGTGCATGCCTAGATTCAGTCCCTATTATAAGCAAAAACAGAGTAAGGAGGTGGTTACAATCCTACAAGAGAACCCCATGCAGCCATCACACTAGAAAATAATATCATGATTGATGAGCTTGCTGGCTAGTTTTTCACCAACTTTACACAAGTTAGGGTCATCTGAGAAGACAGAGCTTCACTTGAGAAAACTGTCCTGTAAGCAAATTTTCTTAATTTGGGACATTTTCTTAATGACTGATGTGGGAGGGTCTAGCCCACTGCAGGCAGTGCCATCCGTGGGCAGGGGGGTTCCATGTTGTAAGAAAGCAAACTTAGCAAGCCATGGGGAGCAAGCCCATAAGCAGCTCTCCTCCGTGGCCTCTGCTTGAGTTCCTGCCTCCAGGTTCCTGCCTGAAGTTCCTGCCCTGGCTTCCCTGATGACTGTAACCTATGAGTTAAATAAACCCTTTCTTTCCCCAGGGAACTGTTGGTCATGGTGTTCTTTACAGCAACAGAAGCAAACTAGAATGACTGATAAAAAGTAATTAACAAAACCATACACACAATATTTATATTTATAGAACAGAGACATGTAACTCCAACAGCAGCTAGAGCAGAATTTGATTTCCTATATCACCTGGGCACTGGTACCAACCCTCCCAGCCCCACACACTGGAAGTTACACCAGCATGCTGCAGCGGGCACAGGCATTCACTCAACATTTCCTTCCTCGGCAATCACTCATGAATGTACACAAGCAGTTCTCGAGCACGGAGGACCAGCACTGTGAGCTGAGAAGCAACTGAAGGAGGATTTCTCCAAAGCTGCAGAAAAGGTGGGTTTGGATGTGAGGCATGGTGGCAAAAAGGGCCGAGGACACACTTGTTTGCCCACAGAGTCTCCAGGAGCGTCAGCAGGGCACTCAGGAACTGAGCACACCTAGTGCATTGGGTAAGGAGGGGAAAGGCCAGGAGCAGGACTTGGGGCACCTGGCACCCACTGGCATGTCCCTCTCACTGAAGTGAGCCACTCTTGCAATAGCAAGTTATGTCAGCGGGGCCGGGGGCAGAAGGCATCAGGAGACAGCTACTGCTCAGCTGGGGACAGGGTGTGCTTGCTGGAAAGGAACGTGACCCGGGTCACCCAAACCCGCTCCCAGAGCAGAGCTAGACTTCAGGTTTCTTCTGGCCCACCGCAGTGACCAGCTACCATCCTTCCTTCGCTTTCTGTGAGGTTTCCATCTGTGTGCACAGGCTTGGAAGCCCTGAGCAAGTGGGTTGTTGGCCCCACCATTCACGGCCCCCACGGCGCCTCAGCACTTCACCCTCTCTGTCAAACTCTTGGAGAGCCAAGGACAGTCTCCCAGGGGCCGGATGAAAATGATGGGAACATGGGACTTGACAGCCTTGTCCAGATCTGAGCACCCAGGGTGATTGGGTCCAAGCTCATCTGGTTATGAATCTAAGCATAAAGATTCCTCTCTTTACAAAAGGTACACGTTCCTTTTGACGCAAAGCAGTCAACCGGCAGGCTACGCTCATGAACAGAAACTGTGGCCATCACTTAGTGCTTTCCAGACCGATTTTTGTAATTGTTAGATTACAATGGCAGGCGTTCTGACACTTCAATGTGTGCACACGCACACGTACACACAAGCATGTGTGCGTGCACACACACACATGGGGTGGGGATGATGCCAGCATTTGTCTTTTCTTAGATATGAGTAAACTTTATTGTCAGAAGACCCGAATTTGAATTTGACCTGCATATGATGGTCACAGTAGCCAAGGACAGAGCCAGCCCAGGTGTCCATCAATGAGTGAATAAACTATATATACATTCTTTATCCCCGAACTCAGGACTAAAGACATGTGCCCTGACTCTGAAACTAGCTCTCCACCCTTCAGATAAGAGCTGCCATTAATCCCTCCCTGGCAGAGGCAACCACTCTCCTGGACTCTTCCTTCCCAAATAAATCTCTTTCTCGAAAGAGTCTTGGGTGATGACCTTCATTCTCAGGCACAGAGCAGAAGAACCTGGCTGAGATATCCCTTAGGGGACTGAGCTGAAAACCCTTGCTGAGATGCTCCTGAGGGGGCATCAGCAAGGCAGAGCAGAACAGAAGAACCTTTCTAGGAAGCTCCTTAAGGGGGCTGAGCAAGGCCAACTGAGGAAAAGTAACAACTGCTGCTGCTGGAGGAGATCGCTACATTCCTGCACCTGGCTTCCCTTCAGCAGAGTGTTAGCCAAGAAACACCTGGGGCTCGAGAAGAAGCAGACAGCTCGGCTAGGACGCTCCTGTAAGGGAATAGAGTAGCACTCAGCTGTAGCTGCTCTCCAGAAGAGCAGGATCCCTATATCCTGGGGGAGACCATCCCCCACTGCACCCCAGCTTCAGGCATCAGGACGCCTTTTCTCCAGGGCTGAGCTGTCCCATTGCAGCTCTGAGTATATCCTGGCTTCCCGATAAGTCAGGATATCCCAACACCACTACTGTACCACATTCCCCTACAGTGAGATCGCAGATGGAAGGGACTAGCAGACCAGAAGGAAGGGTGAACAGGGACAGGAGAGTACCAGAGGGTGTGTGTGTCAATAGATATACATAAGAAAATGCGTGATGAAACCCGTTATTTTACACAATTAAAGCATGATTTCAAATATCAGGGCTGGTGAGATGGTTCAACAGGTAAAGAAGCCTGCCACCCAGCCTGGTGACTTAAGTCAAGTCCTGGGAGCCGTATGGTGGAATGAGAGAGACAACTCCTGCGAATTGTCATCTGGCCACTAAAAGTGCATGATGCCACATGCACACTGCCACATACAATAAAAACACAGCAAAATAAGAGATTTTAAGTAATAAAAAGAGCTTTGCATGATGGCTCACACCTATAACTCCGGAGAAACTGAGGAAAATAACGAATTCATGGCCAGTCTGGTGACTTTAGACTTGGAGCATGACTCTGTCCGTAAGTAGACTTCACACAGGCCACGAGCTCCTGGCCCACTGACAGGAAGTGGTGCTCTTGATCACATGGTTTCCAAACCATGCTATGGTATTACCTATCATAGCATCTGCCATGCTTGCATTACATCACACCATCCGGGCTGCTGTTTGAGGCAGGTATCATTATTATTTATTGTTCAGCTGAAGAAAATGGCACTAAGAATGCAAAAATAATTCACCCACAAAAATCACCTTTGTTAGTGGGGATGGTAGAATTTGCACTCATACCCTGCTAATGTAACTATGCACTTGCCCATGTAACTGTACACAAACACACACTTCAGAATCACAGAAAACTACACAAAGGTCTCATTATAACCCAACCCACCACTGCATAGACTTAACTCACACTAGATTTTTCCAAACATCACATTACAGTCACACATGTGTCCACTCACAAGTATTAATTAGGCAGCCTGGAGGCAGCACATGGCACTGGTGACAAGCTTGGGATGGATATCAAGAAAGGTGAGTTTTGCAGCCATGCTTTGAACATACCCCAGTGTATGCAGAGAATTCCTAGACGAGGCAAGGGGACGCACAGGGATTCTTGCCTTGAGCAGTCTGTTTGGTCAGGGGGTGACCTGCCCAGAACCGAGGGAGGAAGGGTCCCACTGACCCAAAGGATGCCTGCCCCTCCATTGAAAGCTGTGAAAACCAGTTGTGCCGTGGGCTGGCTCTGAAGTCAGCCAGCCTGGTCGGATCGGACACCTTTAGCAGTAGGGAAAGTGGGGCCTGAACACGTGGTGTCACCTCTCTGATACTCCATCCATCCTGGAGACTTACCATGCCCCAGGCACCAAGCCAGGAGCTTCACATCAGAGGCTCCTTAGTCTTCCCACCCGCAGACTGAGAAATGTGGAAACTGGAGCAGACAGCTTTAATGTG